TGTCTGTTGAAGCTGCATCCAAAATATGCCTGCTTTATATATCCTGCAAATCACTATATTCAATTCACCTCAACCATAAGAAATAGATAAATTCTCCCCAAGAGTTTTTCCTGTTTTGATCTGAAGTAAATTATAATTAATGCACACTTGTTTGGAAATTTTCTTGTTCATCCCTCTTAAGTAAATTCGGGATAACAAATTTTCACCAAAAAGAACTCGGCATGCTTTGAATGATCTATTATACTTGAACTGTGATTCTGGTGGTGGTACATCCTCATTGGAAACAGTGACACCTAGCTTATTCAGATGCAATCAATACGTAGGCACACCGGTGTGGGCGGCACAGCGTAATCCCGGGAAATGGTACTCCAGGAGTACACCCTGCCTAGGCAGGATGCACTCCAGGAGTACACCCTACCTAGGCAGGGTGTACTCCAGTGTGTGCTATGCCGTCCGGCGGGTCTATTCAAATCCGTGGAGCAAAGTTCCATGGTGAACCCATGCAGTAGTTCTCTCAACGAAATTCAGAGGAGAGCCAATTCCATGGTGATTTTTGAAGCGGCATTTACTCTGGCAAACAAATTTTAAATTTTGCCAAAATAAATTTTCTCAGGAGGCGTTGTTATAGACCAGCATGATGGGAAAAAAATGTGTGAAAAGTTTATCATGAAGTGCTCATAAAGCATGGTACAGGTAAATCTTAATAAGTTGAACATTCCTAAGTCAAATTTTTTCAAGTCCCTGTCTGAATCCCCTTTGAATCAATGCATTAAAAAGCTCCCTAACTCAAAGTATTTTTCTCTAAAACCTCTGTAAGTTCCATTTTCTGATGAAGACTTCTGGTTATTATTGCTGTATTTGCTTGAAATATTAAAGAGAAAATCATTAAAACAAATGCTATTACGCATCTTGAAAGGGAGTAAAAGACTATAGGAGCATATGAACCCCCGCCTCCAAGTTTAGGAAGGTGTAAACTCATTGAGGAGTGAGTTTAGGCCTGGAATATCCTCAATTACAATTTCCCAAACTTTTTTCACTTCTCCTCACAACAGAAGTGTTTGTTTTCTCAACTGGAAATCTCCAGAAATCAAAACCTCCCTATAAGTTAGAACCTCCTGAGGTCAAATTTGTTTCATGGCCCCTTAGGAATTTGACTTAAAGAGATTAAACTGTAAAACAATATTCCTGTTATCTTTTCTAGTTGCATTCATTATCACATTTGTTTTACCATGCTTTAACTCCTCATAATAAACTTTGGCTGCATTGCGTGTCATCATGGTCTGTAAAGGCTTTGGAGCTATCCCACTTGAGGGGAGCCAGACTAATATCTCCATCTTCAAACAACAGTGGTTACTGCTTTGCCCATGGATTACTGGCAACATCCATGAATCATTCTGAAAAAAGAGTCCAGGTATGCTCCAATTATCCAACAGCCCTGTTGTGTTGACAAAGAGGTACACTATCCTCAGTCTTGCCACCAGTCCAATTTTATTCTCAATGCAGGTACTGCTGTACACATCCAACTGTGTACAATATTAAAATTGAAATGTGAATTGACACTTGCACTGTTATTTATTACGATTCTTTTGAAACTGACTTTGGGGGGTGGTTAGGTAAAGTTAAGTTAAGGTAAGGTTATGAGAGTTAAAAATATTTAAACTATATATTTTGATATATATGTTCATTAAACATTTTTTAAACTAACATAACCTGACCAAACCTTACCTAACTGCCCCCACTCAAGTCAGTTTCAGCTGGATCCCAATAAATAACAGTGCAAGTGTCAATTCACATTTCCATTCAAATACAGTCAGTAATGAACTTGGATCAAGGATGGAACAGACCAATGGTAAGGCTGAGGATAGCATACCAGGACATTGGAACAACAGGGTTGTTGAATAATTGGGGTAAAGAGGATTCCTTTTCAAGAACCACACATGGATGCCGCTGATAATTTTCTGTGTGTTGTTCTTAGCGACATCAGGGCATCGTTTTGCGCATGGCTCCCCCCAAGTGGGATAGCTCCAAGGCCTCCTGTGAGAATAGATTTCCGCAGAATTCATCATTATTTTTGCCAAAGTAAATGCTGCTTCAAGAATCGCTGTGGAATCAACTTTCCTCTGAATTCTATGGAAGAAACCACTGCGTAAGTGATCACTGCAGAAGAGCCTCTGCGGAATTGCACTCCGCGGATGTGGACTAATCCTTCTGCCGGGGGAGTACGCTGTACCTGGGGAGTACGCCCTGCCTGCTACACCGGCACAGACAAATTCGTTGATTTTGCACTGTACTGTACTAATGTTGAATTTGAAAGAGGAGTGGGAGCTATCCTAGTTGGGGGACCCAAGCTCAAAACTACGTCCATGTAGATGTCGCTAAGAACGGCGGACGGAACGTCCTTGGCGGCATCCATTTGTGTTTCTTGAATAATTCACCAACTATTCAACATCACTGTTCTACCGTACCGCATCGCCACTAGTCCCCCGATTCTTCACCGACAAAACTCATCACAACAATCGTCGCATGCCCACTTCTTTTTGAAAAGCTTATTGCTCTGCTGGGGGTAAACCTTCATTCTTCCTCCACAGCGTGGGCATGTGCGATTCTTGTGAAGAAGCCCAAGATCTTGCATCAAATAAATTGAAGAGGAACCAAAATTCGAAGACCTTGCTAAAGATTGAACTTGGGCATCTCCCTCCCTCATCAGCCCCCGTACTCTAGGTCATCGTGACGTGTGGATTAATTTACTTCGTACGAATCTGTTAAACTTTTGTTACGAGTATGTGTTTAGGATATATTTACGAGGATATATAGGCTGTAATAATTACATATTAGTGGTCTATAGCATGAGGTAGGCTATACGGTATGTGTTTCGAATTGAGGAACAAGCGGACATCTAGCTTCTCCAGCGAGTGCAAAAATGCCATTCCACCAGCGACATCCGATGCAAACCTCAATGCCAACGTCAGGTCCACCAGGACGGCATGAAGTTGGACGGGTGGCAAGGATCGCTAACTATGAGGTACGGCAAGATCAACAGAACAGGGATGTTGAATAATTGGAGAGTAGGAGGAAGGCACTTTCCAGAAGAATGTATAGATGTCGCGAAAGAAACAGTACGAACTGTTTCTTGTAGATGGAGCTAGTAGTCTGGGTCCCCCCAACTAGGATAGCTCCGATAACTTCACCCAATGGAATCCGTACTCGTGAAAGAATAACCACTTTTACCGGCAGAATGCAGGACTTCCGCTATTCTACCTCACTGAACGCGCCATTACTGTATCAGGATCCTTCTACAGCATTCTAGACACTGGAATTTGAAAACTTGCCAAAAGTAGAGTTCCAACGCTCTGAGCATCGACGTACAGAAACTAAATAGGAGTGTACCCTGCATCAATAATACAATATAATATACCTCCATCTAATGTTTCATTGCTTGAAATCTTATGGGATACGCGACACTGATCCTCACAGTCACAAGTCAGAACCTGGAGTGGCACAATCGCTATTGAGTGGAGTGCATGTGAATCCATCATACGGGGTGTAAATAAAATTTTGTTTCTTTCTTCTTCGGTGTAGGGGTCCATACAAAAGTTGTACATTGCTGCTGCGTAGCTTCAAATAATGTCCATGTTTCCCTTGAAATTTTTTTCGTTTACTTCAAAAAGACATGTCTGGCGTGCAGCCATGCAGGACACAAAAAATTACCTCAAATTTTTGTTAGCAAGGAAAAGAATTCTTGGTACAGTAGTATAGGAGACGGAAAAAATACTGTAGATTAATTCATGCAGCAGTTCTTTCGATTTACAATTCTGCCTATACGGACTGTCTGAAATGCTTTTAGTGCATCCTTCAGGTTTTTTTAGGATACCGTAATCAGCAAACGCTTCTTTACTTTGGTCAGTATAAGAATGAACAATCACAGTAGTAACTGCATATTCTCCTCTGGGGTGAAAGCAGCAATTTTTTTATTCCAAAAAAAAAAAACCTGCAGAAAAATGTGTTAAGAACTTTTCCTGGTAGCCTCAAGAAGCAATTTGGAGACTGCCAATTTTTTCTACTGCTGATAATTTACAACAAATATCAAAATAGTACGTCTGACTTTGAAATTACTTTTGGATTGACACTTGTAAATGGTTAACTTTTATTCCTTCACATTTGATTCAAATGCATGTGCCAACTCATTTGAAACTACATTACATGTGATTTTTAAGGAACTCAAAAATTTCGGACGCAAGAAAAGAGCTTCTACAAAAAAAAAAAAACATACGTGTGACCCTGCTTCTTAAGGCGCTGAAGCCCAGAAAACCCAAATTTCAACAAAAACCGCAAGTGAAGTCCGGAATTCGTCCCTTCAATCGTATCCAAAATCCCTCCAGTTCCTTTTTACAGACCCCTAAATACAAAGGAAACATTTTTAGGTGAGAAATTGCGTAACGCCTTTATTACAATCCATCAAAATATTCACAATCTCAATCCGCGTTACGTCCGCTACTCTGGGCTAAAAAAGAACAAATATCTCAACATGGGGGAAAATTAACGTGGCCATCAAAGGACAGTGTTGATTGAAGAACGAATTTTTCTTTTTTTAATCCACAATTCGACATCAAGCAAGGACGAAACGAAAATCATTTCCCTCATCCCCATGAACGCAAACCACGTTTCTTAGCTGATAAACTGATTCTGTGCATTGTTCGGAAGGCATTCTTTCGAGTAAGACGACAGGTAGACAGGTGCAAAATCAACATAAACTTTGTTTCTCGCCGTCAGCGTATTCTTGGGAATCAAGAGTCAGGCCTTGAACGCAAAAATACGTCTTTCGACATCCATTGCAATCCAAGCTCCTTTCACACCAAAAAAGCGTTTGAAGCAAGCCGCAAACAAACGGTTTTCAGTATAAATTACACCAAGAATATGCTAACTAAAGAGAGCCAATGCGTCTAAAGTTCTCATCCTATAAGTCTCGGAATGTACACACAACAAAACCCAACAGAACCCCCTCACTTGTCCACTCGTGCAGTCAGCTGTTCGTAAATCAGGAACACCAAGCAAATGTTCGGTGTGACGTGCATCAAGTTTGGTACCAGTCCTTTGTAGAAGCCACGCAATCCTTCTTCCCTGAAGGTCTTATAAACTACGTCCATGAGACCAGAGTAAGACTTGTACTGGTCTTGCATTCTCGCTCGAACAACCTGAGCAAAAAATAAAAACCATTTACTTTTCAACACGCATTCCACCTCAAACCCAAAAATAGGTTCCGACACCTCGCAATTAAAGCGAACTGGAAAGATCACCGAGAACGCCAACACCAANCACGCTCACCACCAGACAGGAGGATCCACAATCCACCACAATTGAAAAAATAAGCTATTTACATGTACAGTACTGTATATCGAAGATTTAAATTCCATGACACATCTCAATTTGCGTGTAAAAAGTTTTTAAAGGAGTGTAGCAATCGTATTCATACGTTGCACACAGTAAAATCAAATACGGTTCAGTGCTAAAACAAATTAAAAGAATACTCAAATACTGCAGCGAAAATGTAACCGCTCTTTCAGGCGAAGAAAAGGAAATTGAAAAACATATTAAACTGATGCCCGGGGAAAAAATAAAGCGTGCGTTTCGAAGAACGGACGAAGTAAAAAAAAAAAGGAAAACAAAATAGGAGGTGCGTCGGACTCGGCCAAAATTGGCGATCCAGGGTCATCTAATAAAACACAAAAACGGCGTTAATAACACGCAATGTTAAACGGATACCGTGAGACAGGAGCAATTGCAAACCTTGTAGAGACCTCGTAGACCTTCGAATTTGTAGATCTTGAGAAAAGCGTCGAGAGAATTCGTGTAGTGAACTGACGTCGTTCCACCGCCTCCACTTGCCACCAGCGCCCGCGGACTTTGTTTCTGTATGATGATTCTGTAACATTGTCGACGAAGAAGTTTTGCTTTCAAAATCAAACATTCCTTCTACAAATTTTCGAAAACAAAAAGGAGGAAAAATGTTGAAAAAAAAAATGTTGCGAACGATGATTTTAATGCAACGCACGATAGTTTTACTTTCGCATTAATTTTTTTGCCTCTTCCGAACACAAAATCTACTTCGAATATAACTTCCCCTGAATAATGCGTTGCAATATACTATTCGTAATTTTTAAAAAATGTTCAACACGGAGAGATTGAATATGCAAAATCTGAAAAAATGACCTGGTTTTGACGACAGAAATCGGATTCAATGCAATCAAGGACAAGCCCCCGGCCCAGGCAGCAGCGACTAGATGCTGACCCGGACTTAGAATCTTGGTTTGATCGCAATCCGGCCCCTTCAACCACCTCTTCATGCTGTCATATCTGCACAGTGATTTCACCAAAAATTCATAGTCAAATCAATAATGAATAAGAAAAATTGCAATTATCCTCTCAAGGATTCAAGAAAGACACAACGGCCTATTGGAGAAACATACGCATAGAAATAAAGCCCCCAGCCGATGCCGGCAGTGCAAACGTTGGGCATAACGCCACGGTAAAGTCCGCTGACTCCCTCTCCTCGGACGATCATCCGCAATGAGGCGAAAACGCCGTCCGCCTTCGTCGCTGCTCTGCTCGTCGTTTTTCCATCATCCACTGTTATACCATACGAGAATGTACCAATAAAAAAAATCCAGTTTCTCAAATTCTACGAATACGAAGAATAAGATTATAGACCAGTATTACACAGAAAAGGAGCGAGGTGTGAAAAATAAGGTCTTTCTAGCGCAGAATTTAAAATTCTCTCATTCGAGTCTCGGAAGCTTCAAAATAGGTAAAGAACCAAATAGAGCCAATAAAAAAGCGCGTCGAAAATCATCATCCCTCAAAAGCTGAGTTTGGAAAGTGCGCACCTGCAAACCGTGTTTTGACGACGTCCAACGGATGAAGAATGAGCGTGGAGGCGACTCCTCCAGAAACGCCGGCAAAAAGGCGTTCGAAGTGTACCGACGAGCAGAACGGCGGCAAAATGACGAAACGGCGAGCTCCTCGGGACGATCTTTGCTTCTCCTTACTCGGTATCATGATTTTTTCCCTTTCTCTCAGCAATACGGACAATAAACACCTGAAAAAAGATATCCACAATAGCTTATTCCTCACAAAGAAAAAATTAATTTCCTTTGACCGCCAATATTAAATTCCACGAATGACAGAAATGTATGTAGCACGTGAATCACCGATCTAACACACCTTGACTATCTCATTTAATTTACCGTAAAAAAAAAACTTGGCCAAACCAAAACGATACAAATTCACAACGGTCCCCCGAAAAACCTCGACTAAGTGTAAAAGAATCTTTGGGACACCTTTGTGACTAAAAATATTTGAATTGAATAGGCCAGAATGCTATGTTTTACAGGGAGGATTAAAAAGAGCCCCCACAAAATTATTGATCGTTTCCACAGAAACTGTTATCATGCCTCAAGTTCAAGGACGTCTCTAATCCTGGCTAACCCTGAAGAATTGCCTGTTCCAAAGAATTCCTGCTAAACTTAGACAAAAGCAAAGAAAAACATGTGCTCAAGGAAGGTCAAGAGTTGAAGTAACAGGAACCCGGGAAATAGAACAGAAAAGTCTCTTGATTGTGAAGTATTTTGGGGGCTGATTCAACGCCCAATTGAGTTGGAGGACACATTAACCTTACCAAAACAGAAATTATTCGTGAGAAATTTAACACGAGTCAATAAAATTATATGAAAAGCGAAATAAGATCGGGGAGTTGAGAAACAGTTGGGCGTCCTAGTGAAGAAACTTACTACAGTATACAAGAAATTATTTCTTAAAAAAAAAAATACTGTAAATAAAAGGAATCTGACATGGACTGAATTTCACTTACGGACGAGAACTGACGGAATAGGCGAGCTGGGGTTAATGATTCACAAGGGCATTTTTACAAAGAGCTTCAAGACACGAGGTCAGCTCCATGGAATTGGATGACTTCCTTCCGCTGCTGCACAGCACCATATGCCGGGAAGAAAACCGCGCGTCACTAACTTCCCACATGTTCTGCACGACAAAAGAAAAACTGAGACAACCCGAACCCGCACAATGATACCCCGACTGAAGGCCAAGGTACCCACTTGGGAATTCCCCTGCGGACACGGAGCGAGAACGAAATCCACACAATGAAATTTTCATGCCTCGGTCCCTCCCATTTCATCGAAAAGATCGGTGATGAACACATAAAATTCTGCGAAAACCCTGAAAGTTTTTCCGGATAGGAACAAACCCACTGATTTCCCGACTCCGCAAGCTCAATTAAGGAGACACAAGCCGGTCCTGGTATTTGGTCCCATTGAAAGAAAGATAATAGTTCGTGAAATGTTCTCAAAAATACCGGTATCCGCGAGTTGAAAATTCTTCCACAGATGCTCCATTCGAATGAATATCTCGCAAATTCGAAAAAATAAACGAATTTTCGTTCACAGACCATTTCAACAAAATAATATTGACTGAATTTTTCAGTCACTCGAACTTCTTTCGCAAAAAACCTGAAACATACATCGCCGAACAATCGCATCTTTGAGCACCGTTTGCGCACGTCAATCGCAAAACATAATACTTCACAAGTCCACACACCGTGCCGTTGCATAAATTTCCCTCAAAATGCCCTCAACCAAAAAAAGGGCGAATCCTTCTCCACATTCGCCATAAATTTCGTTCAATTTCTTCACGCTTCTTTGCATTAACCATTCCTTGATTCATTCTGATCATGATTAATCTTCATCCGCCTGGAATGTTTAAAATTCGTTACAAATTAATGTGTACAGTACTGAAAATCGACTGACGGTCATATCTGTTCGCAAAACATGAAACAATTAATGCGTCGGAAGCCTTCAACAAAGATTACACGGGTTTTTCAATTCGTACCTAAACAAGAAAATTGCGCAATTACGTAGGGGAAGAACATGGCAATGCGGTTTCCTCAAGTTACATACCGTACTAATTCTTTTTACTTTTAAGACGTTTTTCGTCGGAAATCGTTTGCAGTCCCGTTATCCTCTGCTTTCCTTCCCACCCAAAGAAATCCGCGAATAACAAGACGCCGAAAAATACACACGCAGCTCCAGCCCAATGCTGCGACGTAAACGGATTCCGGAAATAGAAAATTGAAAACACCAAACTCACAAACTTGCGCAAAGTCACCACAAGCGTGACTGTCAGGGACGAACAAACAGTCTGCAACTTGTACACACTGCGCAAACAGCAAAACTGCAACAAAGTGTTCACCAACAAGCACCACCACAACACATCACTTTCGTTGAACTCAGAGACCCTGTCTCTCAAATCGGAATACAACAGCAAAAACCCCGGGAGCGGAACCGCGTGAGCCACGAACATAACTTCCTTGGCTGCGTTTGGATACTGCTGATACAGCCCTTCTTGCATGATGCCCAAATATGCCGAGGCCAGCAGGGAAAACGTCAAGAGTCCAACTCCAATCATCCAATTCGTCAAAGACGCATCTTCATTGGAGCTACCTGGGGCAGAAGCCAACGTACACAACAAAATACCGGCAGTGACAAGTGCCACGCTAACGTATTTCATAGTACTATAACGCCTTCCCAAAACCACCATGTTCATCAACATATTGGCCAACAAAGACCCAGATTTGAAGATCATGTGCAACGGCATGGCAATGTTGAAATTGAGGGCCCAGTTGCCCGCGACGTTGACGGCGAACGAGACGAAAACCAGGGATATGGATCGCTTCAAAGGAATTATTGGACGACGGGATCCGAATTGCATCGTAGTGATGAATCCTTCGACGGCAATGAAGACGAACTGGACGAAAGTGATGAGGTTTCCAGACGAGGGATTCAATTTCATGATGAACTCGAGCGCTACGACGTTCGCGCAACAGAAGAACATCACAAGGCACATCGTCGCGAACGCCATCTTTTCGCCTGCCATTGCAAGTCATTTTTTTTCAAGAACAGATGCAGACAAAATGCAGGAACAAAAAATGTCCTCCAAGCGACTTTCGCCAAAACAATAAGGAAAGAACATGAATGATTTTCAACAGAATCATGACTAGTTTGATTTACCAGGCAGAGAAAAATGTCTGAAGAAAAGTTCATCGTTTGGCGTGAAGAAATAAAAAATTGACCATATCAATTGGAAAAATATTTAGTTTCAAGGCAGCTCCTATTCCAACGAACTTATTTTTTCGTTCGCCATTTTTACCCCAAACCGACCGAAAGATTAAAGATACGCAACGGATAAAAGAAGGTAGATCAAGCTGCTCGTCTTGGAAAAAAATTAAAAATTGACTTGACAACTAATTTTTCGATTTACACAATTTATTCCACGTGTAAGGACACCCACAATTACAAGCCGTAGCCCCAAAAAGCTCGATTAAAATATTTGAAAACTAAATTAGACTTCAAACACTTGGTCGATCATGAATTTTACTCAGTTTCAACGAAGAATTGAAGAGGAATGGAATGAAATGAGAGCAGCGCAAAAACCGGAAGTAGAAAAACCCGGAGATCGACGAGCCTCGATAGTCCAGGACGAAAATTCAGAATATGTTGAGTGAAGTCACATCGATAAATAATGATGCCACGGGCTTCTCCACACGGAAAAGGAAAGGTAAATTTTCGGGGGATGAACGAATTTCTAAAATCTTCCCAGCTTCTCTCAACNAGGGCTTCTCCACACGGAAAAGGAAAGGTAAATTTTCGGGGGATGAACGAATTTCTAAAATCTTCCCAGCTTCTCTCAACACGCCTTAACGTTTATTTTTAATCAGTATTTCTATTCCGGAAAATTGAATAGCTTGGCGGAAGTCGCTAGCAGCATATACAAAAAAATCGTAAATTCACGCAACAAATTTCATCACAAAAAGTCACATGACCAACTATATTCGAGCCGTCCTCAACAATACCCCTTTTCCTCACCTCCGCATTGGAAGCGCAAAAGATCTTAAATGCTCTTAAATAAGAATGAGAAAGCACAAAATCGACCAAACAAATAGTCCTAAGTGATTTCCACCAGATATTATTGCACCTTGAGGAGCCTCTGTCTTTTTCACAGGATAACAGACTTTGACTGCTAATAAATCATCCACGGGATCTCAGTGCTTCGCCACTTCTTTCATGCGGTTCAAAGCGCTGCCAGCCTTGAACCACTCGATCTGCTGCGAGTTCAGTGAGTGGTTGAGCGTTACCTTGTCGATTTTACCATCCGTATGCTTCACTTCGCATTGCACAGGCTGTGAAACAAAAACAAAACAACGATTCATCAATTTAAACGCTCCGTAAAAATTAGAAAAATTGAAAATTAGTAGTTACAGTTATAAAAATTAATCGTCGAGATTAGGCGAAGAGATGCACATTTTCCAGAATATACGGCATAAATAAACGAAAAGAAGGTTCAGTCTACCGATTTAGATTTCGTTCATGCCATTTGACGAATAGTTTTAGTGCTGGTAGATGTCGCTCGCACTCAAACCGGCTTTCCCGAATTACAAGGAGGCATTTGATGTGACGGAACATCGGCTACCGGGTTTCGGTACGAGCGTTTCATTGATTGATACCACGTGAAAAAATCATTTTTTAGGACTTCCGCGTATTTACGTTCGGAACACCCAAAAAACATACGCTCAAGATTTGTGGAAAATACGGACAATCAGAAGCTCAGAACAACATCAGCATTTTAATGTTCCTGACCTACTCTCGTATTCAATAGCAGCCCGGCAACAATGTTAGGTAGCCAACAGCTGCTAAAATACGACTCATCACCAATCGGCTCATCACGCATTCTACAGTTCGGGTAGGTATGAAAAAACAAAATTTCCATTACCTTGCCAGGAGCCAAGTCCTTCAGGCCCAAGAGCGAGATGCGATCAGTGGGTTGTATTTTGTCGTAATCCTTCGGGTCAGCGAAGGTCAAAGGAAGCATACCTTGCTTCTTCAAGTTCGTTTCGTGGATCCGGGCAAAGCTGCGCACAATAATTGCTCGACCTCCGAGATGACGTGGCTCTAGAGCAGCATGTTCCCTGCTGCTTCCCTCGCCTTTCAAAATAAAAATGATTATTAGGTCACGGCGTCGATTCCACGGTGATCTGGAACACATGTGCGCGCTCACTTTCTCATACCAACCTTGGAATACCAAGAACAGATAAGGGAAATGTCTGATATTCGCGCGAAGTCCAAGTTTTCTCAATTACCACATCAAACGATTTTTACTTGAACTGCGGCAGTTCAGATTATCATTGGAAAGAAGTTTCACGACTTCAACATTTCACGTGGAAATGCATCCCACATGATGGTGTGCAGTCCAAGTTTTCTCAATTACCACATCAAACGATTTTTACTTGAACTGCGGCAGTTCAGATTATCATTGGAAAGAAGTTTCACGACTTCAACATTTCACGTGGAAATGCATCCCACATGATGGTGTGCTCCAAAAAAATTTACCATAATCCTCATTATTCAAAAGCAAAGTCAAACCTCTATTCAGTGCCATCATATTGTCTCGAAACATTTTATGGCACCAAGTTAGGGAGGCAATAAGTTGAGGGCATGGTATGAAAAGAGGTTTAGTTGAGGGTTTTTATTCTTCACAAAATGAGCTTGTTTATAGATTAAATAAGCCACTGAGTCTGATTTTTTAGAGTGAAAGCCACAAGAAATAATTTGAAGCTTATACGTAACTGGTACAAAACTACATTTCGATACATTTAATAAATACAGCAGAATATATTGAGATTTTCACAAATGTTGTATTTGGACTTGTTTCTTCAAGTTTTACATTAAGTGTCATCATGACGGAATCCCTACAGTTTCCAGGAAGTTCCCGCTTCATTTACAAAATTTCCAACAACAGAAGGTGTCATGCAACAAACGAGTATTAACTATTAAACCCGAAGATCAAATGCTCAAAATTATTCCAAGTTTTCATAAGTGCATGGGCCTGTGATGCTCAAAGTTAACCCAAGAAAAGTGCTTTAATTTCGTCCTTTTTCATCCAGGACACAGAATGTTTGTGGCACCGAGTGAGTTAGCACTAAACTGAGTTTTCCCCCGAGAACACAATGGAGAGCACATTTTTCCAGAGAAATGTGTGGTGTTATGCGAGGGTGGCACTAAATCGAGGGTTGACTTTGTCAATTATCTGAAGCTGTGAAGCACTCCTTTGAACTTAGAACCAATATTGGATATTGCAACAAAATAGAAATCAAAGGCAGTTTTATCAAATAAAAATAAACAATCCAAGCTACAATATCACTCGCTGAGTTAATCCCCATGCTTTTCATCCTTGCGACAAAAAGAACCAATATTGGATATTGCAACAAAATAGAAATCAAAGGCAGTTTTATCAAATAAAAATAAACAATCCAAGCTACAATATCACACTCGCTGAGTTAATCCCCATGCTTTTCATCCTTGCGACAAAATATATTGAATTGAGCCACCAATTTCGTTATAAATGAAAATGACGCCCACATGACATTTATTGAAGTTAATTTCAGAAACAAAGCTCGTCCCAACACTTATTGATTCAGGAATTTCATTTTCGACGCAATTAAAATGTAAAAGATAAGATTTAAAAATAAATGAATAAACTAACCGTAGTTTTCGTCACCAACAGCGACCCACTGCAGGCCCTTCGACTTGTAGTGTCTCGCCACGTCTGGAACACCTCCCCATTCTCCGGTCAGTTGATTCTTGATTTTATTAGCCTCGTTGTTCTCATAGTTGATAGCACTGTGGAAACATGGGATAAGAAAGTGGGTCTCATCATAACGAAAAACGCATACAACGAAAATGTCGCATTGCGAAACATGTTCAGGGGCACAAAATGTGATTCACATAACGATTTTAGGTCTAAAAAAAACGGTAAAATTTTATCGAATTTTGGATTGGAACTTTGAAATGTTTGAAAATATGAATGAAATAAGAAAAATGGCTTAGTTCAATTCGTCTTTGTCATAGAAATTCATAAATGCTGAATGTAATTACAATAATTTAATTTCACACCAATCATTTAAAATTCACTGCTTTATGCTAAAAATTATGCAAATTTTATGGCCTTCTGAGTTTCTGGAATGAAATTTTTTTTTAATAGTGGGACCCCGAGAGGAGGACAATTCGACTCGAAGAAACTCGGACAAATTCAAAAACCGGCCCGACATCCGGACGATGTCTCGAATTACGGACAATACCAAATTTTCTAGAAACATGGAGAATTGGTATCTCTTGAACATAATTTTCCTCTAATTCATGATCCGAAAAAGGCTGATTTTGTACTGTTTTCAGAGTTATTTTCCATTATTTGTGCACAGTAAAGCAAAATTCGACACG